TCAAGGTTCAGAAACAGGAGAACAATACAGAATACATATTTCTGTATTATTTTTCCCCTGATATCAGATGTTCAAGGTTCAGAAACAAGAGAACAATACAGAATACATATTTCTGTATTATTTTTCCCCTGATATCAGATGTTCAAGGTTCAGAAACAAGAGAACAATACAGAATACATATTTCTGTATTATTTTTCCCCTGATATCAGATGTTCAAGGTTCAGAAACAAGAGAACAATACAACTATGGTTTCTGTCTACATACGCCTTTAGTTGTCAAAGTCTGAGAAATCTGCATCTAATGTTGGAAGCATTTGTTCAGTGTTAGCGTTTCTCTGGAAAATTAATTTTTCTATATGCTATCATAGACCCCCCCCCCAGTGCTTTTCTATGTGTTTTATGAACCACAAGTACTGTTCTATGTGCTAATATGGGTCACAAGTGCTGTTTTAAGTGTCTTATGGAACACAAGTGCTGTTCTATGTGTTTTATGGACCCCAACTGTTGTTCTATCAGTTATTATGGACCCAAAGTGTTGTTCTATCAGTTGTTATGGACCCAAAGTGCTGTTCTATCAGTTATTATGGACTCAAAGTGCTGTTCTTTGTTTTGTGGACCACAAGTACTGTTCTATGTGTTTTATGAACTCGAAGTGTTGTTCTATGCATCTTATAGACCACAAGTATTGTTCTATGCATCTTATAGATCACAAGTACTGTTCTGGGTATTTTATGGATCCCAAGTACTGTTCTATGTGCTTTGTGGATCCCAAGTACTGTTCTATGTGCTTTGTGGATCCCAAGTGCTGTTTTATGTATTCTGTGAATCCCAAATATTGTTCTATGTGTTTTATGAACCACAAGTGCTGTTCTATGTGTCTTATGGACCACAAGTGCTGTTTTATGTATTCTGTGAATCCCAAATATTGTTCTATGTGTTTTATGAACCACAAGTGCTGTTCTATGTGTCTTATGGACCACAAGTGCTGTTTTATGTGTCTTATGGACCACAAGTGCTGTTCTATGTGTTTTATAGACCACAAGTGCTGTTTTATGTGTCTTATGGACCACAAGTGTTGTTCCATGTGTCTTATGGACCACAAGTGCTGTTTTATGTGTCTTATGGACCACAAGTGCTGTTCTATGTGTCTTATGGACCACAAGTGCTGTTTTATGTGTCTTATGGACTACAAGTGCTGTTCTATGTGTTTTATGGACCACAAGTACTGTTCTATGTGTCTTATGGACCACAAGTGATGTTTTATGTGTCTTATGGACCACAAGTGCTGTTCTATGTGTTTTATAGACCACAAGTGCTGTTCTATGTGTTTTATAGACCACAAGTGCTGTTTTATGTGTTTTATGAACCACAAGTGCTGTTCTATGTGTTTTATAGACCACAAAGCTGATCTATGTGTTATCCATGCTGTGTAACCAGTGTTTTAAATATATAGAATTAAATAGGTTTATGTTTATGTATCCTAAATGTGTTTTATATAACGTTTACAAATTTCTATTCTAGCCTCCCTGTGGGTCACCAAACCACCACACTGGGGTTCCCTAACTGTGTATCCATCTCTGCGGGTCCGTCGAGAGAAACCAGCCCTAATACACTTGCCAGACGGGCGAGGCTTAGCATAGTTGCAGAGAACAGCCGGGGCGTGAACAACAACAACAACCTGAATATATTTACTTTTCAAGAAAGTGATTTCCACGAATCCGAGGAGCTTGTTGACAATGGAGCAGATCACCCTCTTCTGCCCAGTATCAAAGTTACCAGTTTTTAAAGCTACACAACGTAGCAGCACCTTATTGGTGGTTTTAATACAGACGGCTGATTACCAAGTGCCAACAAAACTTCCACGTGCCACAAGTTTCAACTCATAAAAACTGAGTTTCCATCTGTGGTGGACCACTATAAACTCTTCCAAAACATACTTCATTAGCAATACTAAAGTATATTCTTACTACACACCCACTGGTCGCTGGACCTTGTTGTCCTAAATAACAATACAGTTGTTAATATCTTTTATATCGGTACAGATTATTTAGATTTGTAAATTATAAACTATTTAATAGCAGCTGCTATAGTTTCTAACTTTTATCTCCATGTATAAATTAAGACATACTCATCACAATTCTTAATATACTTTTTATTTAATTAAGCCTTAATAACTGGTATGATCTTAGACTTATCTCTATGGAATTCTGCTTTTACCATAAAAACTGTTATATTTCTAGTTTAATTTCAACTCTCCTTTCGATCCCACCTGAGATGCCCTTGTAACAAGTAAACTTCAACGTTCGATTAATTATTCGAAATACTGTGATAACTAACAGTGAAATGTGAATGTTATCTATATCTCCCTTATAAACGTTTTGATATGTACCATTGTACACTGGAAACATTATATGATTTGTTAACTTTGTCTTCTATCTTGCAAACATACCTATCCTTGCTTCTTGTAAACCTTTCAGAGTCACTTGGTGTGTTGTTTTTTTCCATCTTGTAAACTTTTCAAAGTTTCATGTTGTTGTTTTTTTTTACATCTTGTAAACTTTCCAGAGTCATTTGGTCTTTCTTCCATCTTGTAAACCTCCAAGGATCGCTTGGTCTTTTTTTTTTTTTACACCTTGAAAACCTCCCAGAGTCATTTGGTCTTTCTATTCATCTTGTAAACTTTCCAGTCATTTGGTCTTTCTTCCATCTTGTAAACCTCCAAGGATCGCTTGGTCTTTTTTTTTCTTTTTTTTTTTTACACCTTGAAAACCTCCCAGAGTCATTTGGTCTTTCTATTCATCTTGTAAACTTTCCAGAGTCATTTGGTCTTTCTTCCATCTTGTAAACCTCCAAGGATCGCTTGGTCTTTTTTTTTTTTTACACCTTGAAAACCTCCCAGAGTCATTTGGTCTTTCTTCCATCTTGTAAACCTTCAAGGATCTCTTGGCCTTTTTTTTTACACCTTGAAAACCTCCCAGAGTCATTTGGTCTTTCTTCCATCTTGTAAACCTTCAAGGATCTCTTGGCCTTTTTTTTTTTTACACCTTGAAAACCTCCCAGAGTTATTTGGTCTTTCTTCCATCTTGTAAACCTTCAAGGATCTCTTGGCCTTTTTTTTTTTTACACCTTGAAAACCTCCCAGAGTCATTTGGTGTATTTATTGTTTTCATCTGGTAAACCTCCAAGAGTCTCTTGTTGTTTTTTTCTCCATATTGTAAATCTCCGAAAGTCTCTTGGTGTTTTTTTTTTCCATATTGTAAATCTCCGAAAGTCCACAACTATGTTTTATAAACTTTATCAGAGTTATGACTGTGGTAAATATATCAGACAAGAAGTTTGCTTTTGAGGGAAGTTATAACGCTGTCTAGGTATAATGTTTACACATTAAGATCACTATCTTTATAACAAGTACCATACTTTTGATGTAACACTGTGAGTTATATATATATACTCAACTATAGACAGATATATACAGAAAATTACAATGTAGAATTTTTAATAGGTATCATTTACTTCGTAAGCAAATTGTGCCACCAGTTCCATATTAAATGTATTACTGGTATACTATCTTCTTGTATTTGTGTTGACATATAATCACTGGTATGTTATTCGTAGGTTTATCTTTCACGTTATAGCATGTCGTTTAATTTCATATTTAGAGCGATGAGTACACTCTATGTGTACTGTTTTAAAATAGAGTTCTTTTGAATCATTTTCAATTTTTCTCACTTATAAATGTAATATGTAAGTGTTTTAGCTGTTTTACTTACATTCGTGATTAGTACATATTTTACCCATATGGTTAATGAATAGAATATTTAAACTATAATTATGAAATTCTACTATATTTACGCCACCACTCCCCCGTGATTATTAAAGCGTAAAATATTAACCCCTGTGATTGATAGAACACAGACTTACCACAACCCTTCTCCGTGATTATTAAAGTATAAAATATTAACCCTTGTGATTGATAAAATATAGAATAATTACCACAACCCTCCCCCGTGATTATTAGTGTAAAATATTAATCCTTGTGATTGATAAAATATAGAATAATTACCACAACCCTCCCCCGTGATTATTAGTGTAAAATATTAACCCTTGTGATTGCTAGAATATAGAATAATTACCACAACCCTCCTCCGTGATTATTAGTGTAAAATATTAACCCTTGCGATTGATAGAATATAGAATTACCACAACCCTCCTCCGTGATTATTAGTGTAAAATATTAACCCTTGTGATTGATCAAATATAGAATAATTACCACAACCCTCCCCCATGATTATTAGTGTAAAATATTAACCCTTGTGATTGATAAAATATAGAATAATTACCACAACCCTCCTCCGTGATTATTAAAGTGTAAAATATTAACCCTTGTGATTGATAAAATATAGAATAATTACCACAACCCTCCTCCGTGATTATTAAAGTGTAAAATATAAAAATCTTGAATATTTATCATTTTCTATATATACCATATTTAATTCTACTTTACGTCCCTTCTGTAATTTGAAGTAAAATTTCCGTAGTTTTGAAACATTATACTGGTTACATAAATCTTAAATAGTTAACAGTTAATTTTGTGTTTTGCTGTTAAAATGCAGGGTACATAATAGCTGTGATAGCATCCCTCTGTGCCGGGAAATCTGTCTCTCAATCCGACTCATATCCAGTACCTAAAATCACGATGTCCTGTTTGGAACTATAATGACGTAATAGTTAACAGCTCTGTCGATCATGCGCAGTGTTCTCCTCGAGCGTTCGTTTTTCCTGAAAGGAGATACAAATGAAATATTTTCCTACAAATTAAAATACTTTTCACGATTTGTGTAAAACTAGGCTTTCTTTGTAAAAAATAAATAAATGGAATAAATTTTCTTTATGGCTTCTACATTAAGTCAACCAGTGTTGTCACAGGATTATTAACGTTCAAATTGTTACTTCATAATTCATTCTATACAGCAAACAGACTTAACAGTTGTTTACTACAAGAACTACACCCATTTTAATATGTCGTTTGTTTATAGCAAAACATAAGTTTTTAACTTTATGTATAATTATATCATTACACATGTTACTTTAAACTGATATTGGTCAGTAAGTTATTAAACTTGTAGGAATGTGTGACTAGCGTGGACAGGACGTGGTAGTGAAGTTGTACTGATTTGAAAGAAGTAAGCACAAGTGGAAAACGTCATTAGAAGTTTTGTAATAGTTTCAAGTATAGGGCAGGTTCTTTTGGATTATTCGATACAAGTTACAACTACAATTAACTATAGCCTAAACACGTCTCAATAGAAATCCCACTTACTTGTTAATTTGCTCTTACGTACTGTACTTTGGATGTCTGTGACAACTTAAAACTTATAGCGCTGAACTAACTACCTGAACCAATAATCAAGCTCTTGCATAATTTGTATTTTAATATTATTCCAATCATTTCCCACACTACCGAGAAACTTATACTATGGTTGTAGTCATTATTTCTAACCAAAACCAAGATGGAAGTCAAAATTATTTAAAATATATGTATATTAGCCTACAAAATAACTAAATATCAAAATATATGTATACTAGCCTACAGAATAACTAAGTATCAAAATATGTATATTAGCCTACAAAATAACTAAATATCAGAAATATGTATATTAGCCTACAAAATAACTAAATATCAAAAATATGTATATTAGCCTACAAAATAACTAAATATCAAAATATATGTATATTAGCCTACAGAATAACTAAGTATCAAAAATATGTATATTAGCCTACAAAATAACTAAACATCAAATATTCAAGGGTATTCATTGCAGATTTTTTATTTTGCTTAATTTTTTGGGGTTAGCCTGAAGACCGCTGATAAGTTTTCGTGGCATTAAAACAATTCCTACGCACTACTTTAATCTATAATTATGTTATAAAGTTCCTTCAATAGACAATGTTTACTTCTTTTGTTATCTTTGAATAGTGACAAATCAAGTCCCCCAATGGACAATGGTAAGTTGACAGACTTACAATGCTAAAATCTAGAGTTCTATTCCATGCAGTGGACATAGCATGTAGCTCAATGTGGCTTTGTTTTACAAACAAAGACAAATCAAATATATTTTGTTAATTTTCGAAATAGCGATTTATTTCTCAAAAGATGTAAAACCGTAATTAATTGACAATAATTTTTAAATACTGCTTTCAAACATTTAACCACAGATAAAAAAAAGTCAACATAATGCGATTTATTTCATAACGAAAGTCAACAATATAAGAATTAAATGAAAACGACGGTCAACAATATGAAATTTAGTTCATAACGAAAGACAACAATATGAGATTTAGATCATAACGCAAGTCAACAATATGAGATTTAGCTCATAACGAAATATAACAATGTGAGATGTAGGTCATAACAAAAGCCAACAATATAAGATTTAGATGAGAATGAAAGTCAACAATATGAGACTTAGATAATAACAAGGTGAACAATGTGAAATTTAGTTTATAACGAAAGACAACAATGTGATATGTAGGTCATAACGAAAGTCAACAATATGGGATTTAGATCATAGTTTAAAAATCGAAAATGTATACCATAACATAGAAATCGAATCGTTGCCCTACGCTAGATATGTGTCTTGTTAATATCATTAATTCAAAATAGGTGTCTTGTTAGTATCTCTAATTCAAGATAGGTGTCTCGTTAGTGTCTTTAATTCTACAGCAATATTTCGAAGGTTTTTAGAATTATTTTAATTTAACAATTTTGACATAATTCCGCATTTTCCTAAACTTTCATCTGAATATTATTTTAAGCGTGTGATCGGCATGTATGCATTTTTTAATCGAAAGACAAACAAATCTCTGAAATCTCAATGTTTGAATAATCACTTAAAATGTGGAAGATTTTTCTGTTGCTCCGGACTAACTACCAGAACAAATTGTGCAAACTTTATGGGAGCTACGGACATGTTTGCAAATAATTAACAGGCACGTAACTTAAAGAAACATTTACCTGTGTTGTTTTAAAACATTAACTTTTATCAAAAAGAAACACTACATTCACAGAAGGCTCAAATCGTATAGTAGGCTATGTTCTCAAATCTAGCTCAATCATATAGTAAGCTGTGGTCTTACATCCAGCT